AAAATCGGTAATACCATGACTGAATTTTACTGAATGAACTTTAATATGGTTGGCAATGGTGGTGGGGAGTGGGGTCGGGGAGGTAGGCAGGCAAGTAAAAAATGGAAATTATAGATGGTTGATGTCCAACACTTATAATTGACAAATAAAAAGGTTAAGGAACTGAAATTTTAATAATATTTATTTGACATATTATTATGCATGCATGACATGCGGTCTAACTGTTATACAGTCATAATAAAATCTATTTACCCATGGGTCGTAACCCAAGTTTGGGCCGTGAGTGAATTTTTGAGGGTCGTCTGATCACATCTGGGTCTCCAAAAGGTTATACAGAAAGTCTTAAGTGTTATTTAAATGCTTTAAAAATCAGAACATTCGAGTCAAAACATCGAAACAAAATATTTTTAAAATAAAATACGGTAATTTGTTACAATTTTGGCTATTGTCTTAAATTTGCGTGCCTGCATGCAGTGTACTATAATATCAGTCAGACCGCCGTTTGTTTAATAGTGTTTTTGTTTGGATGCATGTATCATGAATAGAGTAAACGACTCAATAATTAGCAGGCCCTATGTTATGATACATATTTGAATCCTAAAAATAAATTCAAAAGGCGTCAAAACATAAGTTGAAAGGTTTTTGATTTTGAGACTGCTCTAGTTTTTGCGATACTGTACAATGAAAAAAAAAAAAACCGGTACTCGACAATAAATAAAGTAGTAGTTCTACATCAGCAGGTCGATGCATTTTTGGTTCCATTCTACACTTAGATACTGATGAGATTACATTGAAAATATCCCCAAGCCTATACGTTACTAAGATTTCTCTATACGTTCATGCGTGCGTTGGCCGCCGAGAAAACGTTGCGATGCGGGGAAAGTGACACACTTCAAGGTGTGCGCGACTACTAGACTGAACCGGGAAGCAAGAAAGCAATGCCTAAGGGAGGAGATGTTATTACAAGGCCTCAGGCCTAGACTTTACAACAAAATTTGTCAGGGTCATTCATCAACTAACTCTGGTATAATTCCAATTAATTTCCAATATTTATAGCTCTGTAATTCCTGTAAACCGGAAGAAATATATCTGTTATTCGCACACCAAATCTCGCGATCGCGAAGCTCGCACGCGGGTCTCACTCTTCCGGCAACAAACAGATATGACCTACGTTGACCTAAATGTTGACCAATCATAATCAAGAAAAGTTTGAAAACCACAGTACGTACCGTGTAAAAGTCTACTTTCAAATAGTCCTGAACTTTTGGTTATAAAAAACACCTTTATGCACGTCCTATTTTGGTAAACGTTTAGTATGTTGTTTTACATATAATTAAGTTTATATTTAGATCATAAAACGTTTTGTTGCGATTTTGTCCAGTCAAATCCGTATTTCCGGTGGACTATAAGTACCTGGATGCAATATTTCCCGGTGCAATTACTACGCGCCAAAAAAGAGGTCAACACGTTTTCTCGCTCTTCCACAATCCATCCTGACAGACAAGTCTTTGTCCCCAAAGACTAGTGCACAATATATAAACATTTTTTTAACTTTTAATTTGTTTTGTTCTTTTTTTTAACCATTGTTTTATCAATAATAATAATACAATCATAATTATTAACGCACGGTTAACCGTTCTAGCTATATATGTATATATGTGTATATGTGTATATGTATATATGTATATATGTATATATATATGTATATATGTATATATGTACCTATATATGTATATATATATATGTGTGTATATATATATGTGTATATATATGTGTATATATATATGTGTATATATATGTATGTGTATATATATGTGTGTATATATGTGTGTATATATATATATATGTGTATATATGTGTGTATATATGTGTGTGTATAAATTTGTGTATATATGTGTATATATATGTATATATATGTATATATATGTATATATACGTGTGTGTGTATGTATGTGTGTGTATGTATGTATGTGTGTGTATGTATGTATGTGTGTATGTATATGTATAGGCCTATATATATATGGATATATGTATATCTATATGTATATATATATGTATATATATATATGTATATATATGTATATATATAATACGAAGTTGTCATTTCCTTGGCGTAGGGAGGGGGACATTCCCGCCCGAACTGAACCCCGCCCGGTACTACTAAACCCACCTCCTCTTGGCTACGTCCCGGACCTCCTAAAGTGTATCAAAACCACGATATCAAGTTGTGTTATGCCATGGTGATGAGCCTCACCTGGTTATGACAACTGTCGTATGCTTGGAAATTAGCTGACTGACTCTGGGGAAATAATGTCTTATGCAGAAGCGAGTTACTGCCTGTGATAAATAATGTGCAAGTGAAACGTGGTAAGTCTGGCGATAAAGCATTAGGAAACCATCAGATTATACTCTATTATTATGTAAATGATTATAAAAAAAAAAAAACCTAAAATACTGAAGTGAGAAGAAAGAGCGTACGGGAAGAAACATAATATTTTTATGTTATCAAATTATTTTTGCCTTCATGCTACATTATTCGGATGCAAAACTAAAGAAAAGATAGAAAGAGAGAGAAAGGTGAAGTAAGAACTGTACACACATTTCCAATATCATTGAAAAACCAACATTTCTGGTTTATTAATTTAAAAAAAAAATGTTTTGCCGTCTAAGTGACAAGGACAAACACGTGATTGGAAATGTAGTCGTTGATTGGGTACTTACAACACTATTTAGCGATTTATCCACACCACGAAGACTGATCGTTTCAGTATAATGGCAGATCCGGTTGTAACTACACGAATTCTAAACAGACAATAATGGAGACAAAAAAGAAAGAGAATGCAAATAATTCAAAAGATGAGATTAGCATATCTGAACGCTTTCAGTCATTTGGAGAACATACACCAATTCATGGAATACGAAACGTAACGAAAGGAAACAGACTAAAACGAAGGTACAACTTGAATTTATAGATAACTTTAATAATATTTCGGTACTATTTGTGAATAAATGTATTGAATGCTTGCTTTTAAGAGCAAATTTTCATTTTTTACATCAAATATTTATATTATTATTAATTGATAGACATATCGTATATTAAAGTAGGCCTAGTAAAGTGGTGTACCCTGGTAACCATTATCTTGTGATAGTGGGCTAACAAGGCTCTGGCTAAGGGAAGGAAAACCCCGAAAATAAACCTACTGCGATGGGCCAAGAACCAGTCCAGTTCAAAATTATTGTTACGGAAACTGAAAGTATTACTCAAATACCAGCGTGTGCTGAAAATTTTGGTGATGATAGGATGACAGTCCAGATACCAGAGGATGAGGAAATAAGGTATATGGATAGTATGACGCTGTCGGATCAAAGCCTATGGGAAGTTCGGCAGTCGAATTTGTCGCTAATCAAGCCTAAAGAAAGTATTAACATTTGATGTTGGAATTTTAGAACGCTTTACACAATTGGGAAATCTGCGCAACTCGCAAAGGAAATGCATAATTATAAAATTGATATTTTGGGCATTAGTGAATGCAGGTGGTCTGGACATGAGATAGTCAAATTGGGTACCGGTGAGAGTATACTTTTTTCGGGAAGAGAGAACAACTTGCATAAACACGGAGTGGCCATGATGGTATCAAGAAGAGCAGAGAAAGCACTAATAGAATGGTAACCTATAAATTATATTTGCAAGATTTTATTTCAAATTCGTGAAGCTGTCTATAATACAAGTCTATGCACCCACTAATGAAGCAAATGATGATGATAAAGATATGTTTTATGATCAGTTACAAGCAACTGTTGACAATATATATAAGCATGACATTCTTATTGTAATGGGGGATCTGAATGCCAAAGTTGGAGAAGGAAACGAGGGATATGAAAGTGTGCTTGGTAGGCATGGAATTGGTGTACGAAATGAAAATGCGGCTGATAAATTTCTGTGGACTCAACAACCTGTTGGTAACCGGTACCATCCTTCCTCATCGACTAATCCATAAGCAAACATGGACTTCTCCTAGAGGGAGAGTAAATAATCAAATTGATCATGTCTTGATCAATGAGAGGAGCTGACATAGCAAGTGACCATCAGTTGGTACGTTCCAAAATTAAACTAAAGCTGAAAAGAAAAATTGATAACAGAAGAGCTAGAAAAAAAATCGACACTTTCGAAAATTATATTTGCAAGATTTTATTTCAAATTCGTGAAGCTGTCTATAATACAAGTCTATGCACCCACTAATGAAGCAAATGATGATGATAAAGATATGTTTTATGATCAGTTACAAGCAACAGTTGACAATATACATAAGCATGACATTCTTATTGTAATGGGGATCTGAATGCCAAAGCTGGAGAAGGAAACGAGGAATATGAAAGTGTGCTTGGTAGGCATGGAATTGGTATACGTAATGAAAATGGAGAGTGGCTGATAACTTTCTGTGGGCACAACAACCTTGTGGTAACTGGTACCATCTTTCCTCATCGACAAATCCATAAGCAAACATGGACTAGAGGGAGAGTAAAGAATCAAATTGATCATGTGTTGGTAAGTAGACAACATAGAACATCTATAATGGACACAAGGGCAATGAGAAGAGCTGATATAGCAAGTGACCATCAGCTTAGAAGAAAATTTAACACAATGAAACTACAGCATCCCGGGGTCAAGATACAATTTTCACTGAAACTGAGAACCATAATGTTGCAGATAGTACTGTTGAGGAGAGATGGCAGGGTTTTGAGAAAGCACATAAGGAAACAGCTCAAGAAATATTGGGATATAAAGCAAAAGGACAGAAACAATGGATAAGCAAGGAGTCTTTGGGAATATTGGAAGAGAGAAAAAGACTAAAACAGTTGAACAGGTCAAGTCTGATAGGGTTAGACAGATATAAACCCGCAAATACAGGAATAAAGATAAAGAAGTGAAGAGGAATTTGAGAAAGGATAAGAGAAAATGGATTGCATTGCAGGCGGAGAAAGCAGCTTGCGATGGAAGAATGAAGGAAGTATACATGCTTACTAAAACCATTAGCAATGACAAGCCGAAGCCAGCATTTGCTGTTAAAGACAAAACCGGAAATCTAGTGACTGGGCATGCTAGAACGGAAAGATGGAGGGAACATTTCGAGGAAGTCTTGAATCGACCCGCTCCTGACAATCCTGTAAATGAAATTGTGGTTGAACCTGTAATACATGAAATTAGTACCGAACCTATAACACTAGTTGAAATTAGAACAGTATTGAAAAGAATAAAGAATGGTAGAGCAGGAGGCAAGGATGAAATTACTCTAGAGTTATTGAAAGCTGACATGAATATAACAGAAGAATGGTTATGCAGCATATTTAAAGATATTTGGGAGAAAGAAAAAGTTCCAAAAGCATGGAAACAGGGGCTGATTGTCAAAATACCTAAAAACGGAAGCTTTACTAAATGTGGTAATTAGAGAGGTATTACTCTTACATCGGTTCCCAGTAAAGTATTTGGAAGGATACTAATAGATAGAATTAGAGAAGGTGTCGACTGTAAGCTGCGAGATGAACAGGCAGGTTTTAGGAGAGGTAGAGGAACGGTGGAGCAAATTTTTATTCTTAGAAATATCATTGAACAGGTTGTGGAATGGCAAGCAACACTATACATTCTCTTCATAGATTTCGAGAAAGCGTTTGACTCTGTTCACCGTGATAGGATGTGGAAAATAATGGAGGCTTATGGAATTCCAAGGAAGATAATAAATATGGTTCAAATCTTATACGAAGGCACTGAATGTGCTGTGCTGGATGGGATTGAAGAGTCTGACTGGTTCAAAGTCAAAACTGGAGTTAAGCAAGGAGATGTAATGTCTGGTTTTATTTTCCTGATAATAATAGACTGGATAATGAAGAGAACAACTGAAGAAAGCAACACTGGAATTAGATGGAGATTCACATCAAAACTCGAAGACTTAGACTTTGCAGACGATATTGCACTTGTGTCACCAAACTGTCAGCAATTGCAAATAAAAGCTACAAAACTCTCACAATTTGCTACACAAACTGGGCTCAAAATTAATAAGAAGAAATCAGAAGTGTTAAGGATAAATAGCAACAGTAATAATAGAATACAAAATTGAGAACAGCAACAAAATGAAGTCGATAAATATACTTACCTGGGTGCTATTGTCAGTAAACAAGGAGGAGGGGGAGATGATATCATTAACAGAATAACGCAGACGCTAGCAATATTACTTCACTCACATTTCTTTTTGTTGTGTATATGCATACGCATATCTAAATTGCCCTATTGTGAACAGCCTAAGATGCTACGCGCAGAGTCACAAACTGCGATTGGATTAATAAATTTAAAATTATATTTCAACAGATAGGTCTATATAATTAATGACATCTTATCACTGTGGGCAAGAACCAATTAAGATGCGACACACAATGTTTTACAACACCAAGTAAAATATTTAAATTTAACATTTGGAATGTATATAAACATTATCTCACATTTTGGATTAATAAAAATTACAATCAAAAAGGACATGGTAAAATGAAACATTACAATTGTATAAGGGCTAGAGTTCAGGCAAATTATTGATCATCAAAATCCAAATTCTGTTATACCAGTGAACAGTGAAATTTCACTGTTCCCTGGTTATACGATGTTTTGACTAGATATAATTATGCAGACGATAATTTATTTACTGGTTACATCAATAATGCAGATGACATTACGTTCACTTGGGCTGGAATTTTTTTTTTTTCAATTATAAATTTAGAACATGTGTAACAGTATCTAAAAATTTAATGGATTTTGATATGTAAAAAAAAACCTACATGGGTGTACTGTCGATAAGGACTTTTTATGAATATGTAATCAAAATTGTTGTGGTAAGAGGTTCATTTGGACCAGAATTTCAATCAACCAGAAATTTAGAGCATGTACATTATCTACAAAATTTAATAGAGCTTGATATTAAAACTTACATGGCCTACTATCGATA